TCGTCCCCTTCTAGCCTAGCACCTTGGACTGTAGTTTTAAAACTTTGCTCTAGGCTCGTCTCATTTCTTAGGGAGTTTAGATGGTTCCAAAATTTCGCAGCTGCCTTTCTATCTTTTTTATGTACTTCTACCAGCCACTGAGCTCCCTTTCTTCTAATTTTTTCATTGATCAGAAGGGATGCATCCCTTCTACAGCTTAGAAAGGTTTCCCATTTTCTTTCAACATCATCTGTCGGTTCACCCCGCTGCTTAGCATGTCTGTGTTCCCTAGAGGCTTTGTGACGTTTTTCTATGGCTCTCTTAACTTCCTCATCCCACCAACTTTTGGGTCTGTGTCTTCTTTTCCGGGAAGACTTGTCACGCGTCTTAGCAAGCTCTAGCTCAAAAAGTCTAATTAGATTCGTGTATGTCCACACATTTTTTTATCCTCTGTGATTACTTTCTCAATTTGTTTAGTAGCAATTTCTATTTGCCTTTCTGAATGAAAATTTTCCTGTAGTTGCTCATCTTGTCTCCTTCCCACTTTCACTGCTCTTCCAAAACTTAGCTTGATACGTTTGTGATCACTACCCAGACTTCTGGAGCCACCTTCATCTATGTGCATTCCGCTGAGCTTATCATACATCCTATGTGACATCAGTGGATAATCTATCGTCGACTGCAGCCTTCCTACCTCCTATGTTATTTGCCCTTCACACTTCTCGTTACTGTTGCAAATGATCAAATGAAGCCTTTCACACATATCCATGATCATTTTGCCTGTCGGGTCGGTATACCCATCTATATCTTCTATGGGCACATTCATGTCTCCTAGTATAATTATCTCGCACTCTCTTCCTAACTCCTGAATGTCCTTTGATATACACTCTACCATTGCCTGGTTTTCCTCTCTGGCCTTTGCTCCCGTCCACAAGTACACGAAACCAAGGAGTGTCATTTGACCTGCCACTTTTCCTTTTAGCCATAAATGTTCCTTGCACTCCTGCTTGACCCATTGCCAGTCTGTACTTTTATGAATGAATGCCCCAATACCACCCCCCTTTCTGCTGCCTTCTGTTCTATTACAATATTCCCACGCGTAGTCCGGATTGTTCGAAGGTAGTTCCATGTCCCTGAGATGTGTTTCTACAAAGCCGTATACCATCGGCCTCTCTTCCCTTAGCTGTTCTTCTATCTCTTCCCACTTCAGCCTGTTCCTACCACCCTGCATGTTAATATACACTATGTATGAATGGTCTCGGTGCTCGTGGCTACGTCTATTTATGCCCCGGACTCTACCTATCTTAGATATTGGTGCCACTTTGGAATCGTGTCTGTCCATACCACCTGTCGAAGAGTCTCCCTGGTTGTTTTCCTCGTTACTAGCTATCCTGCACCCCGAAGGGCTCGCTTGCCCCCCAAAAAAGCTACTGCGCGTCCTGAAAGTCGCAACCCACCTCATGACCTAGCCGCCCATCGAAGTGAATTCTGCGTCGTTGAAAACCACCCCACCTATGCACCTCTCTGTTTATTTCCAGCACCTCAAAGCCTTTCTCTGGACTCATCCGCCATATCTCTCAGTTTGCGTTGACAACCGTTCTTTGCAGGTTGCTATCACGCACCGTTACCTCCGGTATCGTGCATATCACTACCTGTACCTTAGGAGAAGGGGCGCGCATGTCATCGACGCCTTTCGCCAGTGTGGTTGCTAGTTCTGCTGTATCTTTATTTAAGACATCGTTTAAACCACCTGAATTTATCACGAGGTTTCGTCTATCAGCTGTAGTTTTGAGTTTTTCGCTCGCTTGCCTCATGACTGCTTCCAGCTTGCGTCCTGAGAACGCCCCTACTGCAACCCTCTTGTCACTTCTTACCCTCTCTTTGATGGCTTCTGTGCATCGATTTAAATTCGAGTCCCCGGCGATTATCACAAGCTGTGACTTTTCAGCTGGAGCGTCCTGCACCTAGGGACTTGCACCTGTGACGCCGGCTGCTTTGTCCCCTCCAAGCCCCACCACTACCTCGCTGAAGCTGGGCCTTGCGACAATTGAACCGGCTAAACCTGTTTTTTCTAAACTTGCTTGCTCTTCCTTCCCCACCGTTCTGGTTGCCGGTTCTCTACTGTTCTCTCCGTAGGCCGCTTCTTTGTTCAGCTTCGCTAGTGCTTTCTCGGTGGACTTCAGTCTTTCTCCCATTGCCCTCGTTTTCTCTTGCTCTGTCGCCAACGCAGTCTCGAGCTCGGCGATTCTCATCAGCAGTTCACTCTGGGCAACCATCATTTTCTCCATTTTTTCCTCGACCTCACATTGCCTACACTTCGCGTCAGCCTCTTCTACATCCGCTTCTACGCTTGGGTCCACTTTCAAACCCTTTCCACATCCCGAACACTTTACAGTCTTTTTAACCATGTCTTTCTGACACCAATTGTCCCTATACTCGATAATTACTAAACTCGAGCCCTGCACTACGGAAAAAAGAAAGTCTAAGCTCTACTACAAAAATTTGCGTGTTCAATGTACGCGCACCTCCCCCACGGAGGGGCAAAAGAAAAACAACAACAAAAAATTCAAACACACACACCCGCACTAACTAATAAACACCTGGTGACTGGCCCCCGAAAAAGCCGTACCATAAAATAAGTGCTACGAAGATTTCAACCGCTGCCTTATAATTATAAAGACAAGCTCAAAACATGCAAAAACACTTATCTGCGCAGTCGATCCGGAGCGCTCAAAAAACACTCCCATCCACCGTAACAGTATAGTAACAGCCCGAACTACCGACGGAGTCTGCACCCTTTCGCGGCAGCCGGGCGTGCAAAAACACTCGTTTCTTTTACTGGGGAGCGCAGCAATTGGGACGTCTGGAGAGAAAAATGCGGCGCACTCGCCGTCTAGGAGGCCACAGGTTGGTTTGCTACGTCGCCCGTGCACAGCTCGCAGCCACTTTCGTGTCTCCTTTTTTGTTTTAGATGCGGAGCATCTTATACTCGCGCCTTGTAGTGCGCCGTCCGCGCCGCTTCTCGAACATTCGACAGCTGACGCGCGCGCATGCGCCGTCGCCCACTCTTCCACCATCTGTGCATCCCTTCCTCCTCTACACACTGCGCGCGCTTCACTCCTCCACCATCTGTGCACCCTTCCTCCTCTACACACCGCGTTCGACATCTACAATTCTCCTGATTCTCCAGTGGACGCGCATGTGGCGTCGCGCTTCGAGAACATTCAACAGCTGACAGTGCATGCGCCGTCGTGCTGTATATATCCTCAAGGTCGGCGCTCGCTCGTTCAGTTGCCGCTCGTCGGTTGGTTTGTACGGCGCGTCGACGTCCAAGGTCGCGGTGAAATGAATTCCAACGAATCCACAAACACAATGATCGACGTCCCTTCGACCAGCGCCGCCCTTTCGCATACGTGTGTACGTGTTCACTCATTTAACACCCCCTCCTACAACCACGTTAACCAATTTGGCCATCGACCCAAGTAAGTCGCAATTTAACACCCCATTTCACAACCACGTTAACCAATTTAGCCATCGACCCAAGTAAGTCGCACTTTAACACCCCGTTAACCAATTATATGGTCCGCATCCTCCTCAGTGTTCCCCCGAGGGAAGCTGCGGGCAATTTTTTTGTTGTTCTTCACTCAACGAAATCAGCAAATTGCTGCTGCAGCTTCTTACCTGACTGTACGAAGTGCTAAATAACTGCTCTGGGAACGTTTTACGCTTCTCATAATGTCTGATTGCGGGCGTCGTATGCTATGACCACCTATATATGAAAACCATGCAGGCTGATGCCCGCTGCTTTTGTAAAAGGTAACAACTGATCCCGTATCGAATTGAAGCATCAAATAGGTATTAACGCGCGCTTGCCGCAAAGAAACTTATTTTTGCTGCAGGAAATTCGCGCGACCACGTTAATTCATTCATTGTAGGTTTGTATTAGAGAGACTAGAAGGGTTTTCAAACCCTTCTAGCCTCTCTAGTTTGCATTTGAAGACGGGACACTAGCGCCAGAGTTCCCTCTAGTGGATATATAGGAAACTCTATGCTGGCGGCCGTCTGTTTATTTCCTCCTATAATATTATTGCAATAGCAATCATATGGACACTTTTGGCGAATTTTGCCGCCGGCGTCATTCACCGTATATGTATGCGTATCTATATATATGAAAATGCAAGAAAGAAAAGGAATTTAGAAAAAGACTCTGGCTCGCGAATCGAAGGTCCGATCTCTGAATTGACTGTGAGGCGTTAGCCACTGAGCCACGAAGGACCACCTCCTTCAACGTTCAAACAGCAAGATATCTATATTTACCACTTACCACTGGCAATGGGCATTTTAGGGGAACTATGGTGTTTTCAGCATTACCAGCAAGATGGCGCAATGAGTGTGCATCGCCAGATCGCCACGACGCGCGGTCTCATCTCCCACGCGTACTTTGCCTCGCGGAGAGGGTACGCTCACGCGTGCGCTCTTTTATATCGCGGTGGGGACAATCGTACGCCTTGGGCTTTCACCGTAACAATTCTGTTGTAGCCACTGGGCGCACAAAGGTCACAGCACTTGTTGCACCGTCTCCGTTTGCGAAAAGGGCACGCTATTCAGACACAGCGAAAAAACTCAGGATGCTTAATCGCGTTCATGTGTACCTGCGAGTACGTTTCATGTGTCATTTTTGCGTGACAAACGTGAGGAGTATTTCGATCTGCTTGCCATTCTTCGCGTAACCTTCCAATTTGTTGCCGTCACGTTCATTGCTTAACCTATGCGGCAAAGCTGCAACTTCTTCATGTTCCTAGCATTGCGCCAGTTAAGAAATGTTCAACAAGCTAAGTTATTCATTCCATTAGCATGGCGATGCTGTTTGCATAAAAAGTGCAATGAACTACTACATTTGATATATTATACCAGCTGCTATATACGAGCATGTTGCAACGAGCTTGCACACATACATAAAATAATGCAATATATTGTTCATGCCATTTTATTACCATATTCACGATTTATATCATCAGGGAGCTCAGCGAGGAGCTAGAGAAACACCACAGTGTTAACTCGACGTACCTGCTCGAACCAGGAGTGGCGAAAAAAAAAAATCAATAAGTCATTATTGCTACTGCATGCATTCAAGATACTTCGTTCTTTTTTATATATATACACATTAATTGAAGAAGCACTTACACTGAATTAATGGAAACAACAGACACTTGAATGACCTCCTACAGAGGAATGAAAATATTAGTGTTGTATGTAATTTTTTTTGTCCATATAAGCTAGGACGGGTAGCTGAATGTATGTGTCGTTTAAGTAAATTTTATTCATGTGACTAATAGCATGAATTGTTTCAATTAACACGTTTGCATAGAAAGGACGCATGTTTAGCATAGTTATATAGTCTCAAAATTATTATCTGTTTTGCAATTTGTTCTATCTGCAATGATCAAAATTAGGAAGAGTGGGAGCGTGCAGTCAATAACAATTTTATAATGTCAACTGGTTATAATTTTCTGGTAGTTTCTGCTGTATACACTAGGATTGCATTTCCTTTTTTTGCAATCTCTGCTGCGTGAATGTTTTCTGCCATCTACCGTGTGGTGACCATGCAGTATACTCTATTCATTTCAGCACTCAGCCCAAGCCACTGGAGCACATCACAGGTGGCTCGTATGAGTACACCAATGTTTCATCAGCAGTGCCCCAATCAGAACCTTGTGACCAAGAAGTCCCACAAGAACAAACATGTCGAGATTAGGAGAAGCAGAGAAGAAGAGGGCCAACGGCATAATGAGTTAATGGCCAGTCAGGGCTGGCATGAAGCTTTGTGTGAAAGACTTGTGGCGGCTGCAGAAAATGACGTTGCTCATAGCTCTCGGCAGCTGAATAATTCGTTTGTTCTAACATTTTCTATTCATTATTTTTTTTTAAATAATTGGATTTCATTTTTATGAATTCTCTTGCAATTTATCAGTTTTTCTTGGTATTTTTTCAAGCAATGTAGCCACCTTGTTTTTTGTGTGCATTCCAAATTGCTTTGGTGCTCTCCTTACGTACGCTAAAAACTCACTTTGCGTGTTTTACTCACTTTTTTCATTTTAATCAGTCACTCTATTAGTAGTGCCGTTGTTCCTCATTGCCAGTAATACCAGAGATCTCACTTTAACTTTGAAACTCTGTAGTCTTGTATTAATGATATTGACCTCAGTGAAAAAATAAACTAGTCTTTTAAAACTCATGATCAAAGTGTGGATTATGCAAGGTGCAATGTATGTGCAGAGCACAAATGAAAGCTTTCAGGAGCGAATCGCGTATGCGAAACTTGTCTTGTGATGGCTGTAAATATATACTGGCAACACGAACACCTAATTACAATTTCGACTGTTTGGTGCACATTAAAAGTGAAGGGGTGTATATCTATTAGCTAAAGCAGTAAATATATATAGTTTGAACACAATATTACAAAATGATTACCACAAATAAAAAAGTATTCTTATTTTAGTCCTTTTATAATAAAAAAGCTACAGAGCCTAGGCAACGGAGTCGCGCACAGTTGTCACAAGGGCTGATGCTACAGTTCAACTTTCTGGTGCTTTCGCCTAAAGATCTGCATCAATGTCCACCAGTTGCTCATCGTTCATACAGTCGTCACTGCTGCTTGCGATGTGCAGAACGCAAGCCGTCATCATGATGTCTGTCCATAGTTTGTAAGATGGTAGCGACGTCGACATGCATGAGCCATTAGAAGAGTCTTCAGCAGAACAAAAGCTCTTTGATTGATTGATTGATATGTGGGGTTTAACATCCCAAAATTACCATATGATTATGAGAGACGCCATAGTGGAGGGCTCCAGGAATTTCAACCACCTAGAGTCCTTTAACGTGCACCCAAATCTGAGCACACGGAACAAAAGCTCCTCTTATGACGATGCGTTGCCCGCAATCTGCTGCGTTAAAGGTCTGCATCCACGGCTGTCAGCTGGCTCCACGTTGACGGTAAGAAGGCAGCAGCCAAGGCATCGCTGGATAGGCACTGTCACTGATTAGGCAGCCTCCTGCCAAAAGAGTTCAATATGTCACCTTAGATGTGCACTGCAATGAAGAAATCAGCTCACAAAGTTAGCTTGTATTTATTGTAACTTACCTCATGTTACTACTTCAATTTTGAATCCTCAATTTTCTGGTGCCTGATGTATACAAAAAATTATTTTCCTTACCTTAATACTTCACTGCTCCATCCTGAAAAAGAGAGCTTTCCTCCCATGCACAGGCATGGTGGACGTGGCCCAGGAGGCCTATAAACCCATGCATAAACATTCCCTTGGTGTTGCAGGCACCTTGTAGCATTACAGTATAAAATTTCTTCCATTTTTTTATGGCTCTCCTCCAATCTTGGCAGTTATAATATCCAAACATGGCAGCCATGAAGGGCCCCAATGAGGTCTGACAAAGCAGCTTACGCTCCTTGTCTTTGGCTGAGCGCAGGAAACACACACTTGCTCCGTGCAATGTCGTTGCTGCCCAGACGCTTGACTTCTCTTGCACTGATGGAGAAGAAAATGTCCAGAACATATCAAACTGCGCTGTGAACACTCGACTCACTTACGTCAAACCTATCTGCCAATCGCTTACATTGTAGTCTGCGTGCCGAGAGAAAAATGTGCGACCAGCACGGTCCTCTCAGCCAACATTTTGGTTTGTCTACGTGAGCCCTGCAGATCAAATGTGGATTCATCAAACTCTTCTAGAAGAGCCGCAGCAGTGCTTCTCGACAAACAAAACATTCTTGTGATCCACACATGAAAGAACGAACCGTCCGACGTATAATGGAATGTGGTACCGATCCTGCCTCATGAGCTGGGCCAAGAGCAGGCTGGTGATGTGATGGTCCGCCTGATTATTTCCCTCTTCAAGTCGCATCATGAGTCAATTGCAGCTCGACTACTGCTAATAGCAGTAGCAGCAAAGTCCACCCCAGCTGGCATGTTCACAGACTAGTAATGTAACAGATGATGACACAAAGCGAAAATGGCTACCCTAGCATGATGACGATGATGATGCGGCAGCGGCCAGCCCCCTGCCAGCTGTTCAAATTTTCGTGCCCATCCAGCAGCCTCGGGCAGCCAGGTGTCTGCCTGAGAATTTGGCTTATTGTGACAGTGATGCATAGTCGATGTCCATTTCCTGTCCAAAAGGAGTCCTCGAATTGCTGTCGAGCTGCGCGAAAAGCGAAAATCAAGGAGGTTCAGTGGCACATACGGGAGCGCATACCCACAAACTTTGGGCATATCACAATAGCCTCTTCGGTCCTTGGGTACCCAATTATGTACCGTTGTTTTAAAGGCCACAGATCATTACAAATCGATATCTGCGTGTCGAAATTTGTCTTGGCACAATAAGTATGAGTTGCTTTCAAGAAGCACTGAAAAGTGATGCCGTTTGTCTAGTCATATTCAGAAAACGAGCGACCGAAAATGCAGTGAGTACTGCAAAAGTGCTTGGCTGCATCTTTCTAATATATAAAGAGCTTTCTTTCGTGGTTGTTGCGTGAACGACGTCTACTGTACATTCCTTTAACTGTGGACACCTCGTATATCATACTGAAAGTCATTTCGGTCTATTTTTGTTGAGCTCAATCTTAGAGACTTCTAAAAATCAGAAGTACACAAATGGGTATCATCAGATTTTGAGACAACCGTTCAATTTTTTGGATTCATAATTTTTTTCCTTTGTTTTTAAGGGCAGGGAATAAAATAATACAGTTTTGCAAAAGCTTGTCTCATTAGTGCATTCTTGGGACTGAAAAGGATAGAGCAAGTTTGAGTGGTGGCCTACAATGTTAAGGGCCAATCTGGCAGGCTTGGCAATTGCAACGGTTCACGTGGGCCATAAGTAGATTATGTACAGCAGAGAGATGACTCTTTCTGCGGTGATGTGTACATTGTGCGCATTAACTAAGGACTCACATCCCGCACTGTGTGCTTCTACAAATGACCTTAAACACAGTGTGCACATTTGCACAGGCTTCCTGAGTGGACAACTAGTGGTCTTCAAACTTCATTGTGCTGCGTATGACTGCAGAGGGTCACTTTGGTGGAGACACTACCGTGCTTGAAAATCATTTGACATGCTGCATTAGAGGACCGCCATCAAGAGCATTATTTTTCGCTTGGAATAATTACAATAAAAACAAACTAAGCCTGCATTTTAGGCCTAATATTTAACTATTTTAATAGGAAGAATTGAAGCTGCATTAGAGCAAAATAATTATGAACTGAATTATGTGTTAATTGAGATTAATTACTGAAAGTAGTAGAAAACAATGTATTGCCTCAATTTTTTCCTGGGATGTAATATCAAGTGTCTCAGAGTTATGTGAATTTGACTCATTTATAAACAGTATCGCAATTCACACCCAAAGAGGATCATCTTGATATTACATTCAATAAATGCATCTGCTACAGCGATCTAGCGGTTATGGTCCAGATAAGTATAGATATGGTTAGGTTGATATTGCAATATTCTAGGTTTATATTACTGAAAGCCTTTTCCTTTTAATGAATGTTCATGTGACAATGACAAGGTAAAAATGCGAAGGACAGGCATTAGGGGCAGCATAATGATGCAGCGGAAACACAATGTGACAGAAGAAGAGCGGCTGCCTAATGGCCAGAAAAATTTTGATTGGACAGTATCAGCAAACACGAGACCAACATCTTAGAGCAATTTTTTTGTCCCACTTATTGTATTATACTTCAAGCAATAATGTTGAATCTTAAAGGACGGCCACTTGGGCACGTAACTGAAAATCAAAGTTTTTCATTTAGCTGCAACCACAATATTATGATAACTACATGCAGCTTAGATATTGAAAAGGTCTTACTCGAGTGACTCATCAAGTGATGGATGATGTGCTTTGTCATCAATCTGCTATATGATGGTTCGACAGTCAACCTTTGCTGCATATCCAAAAAGAAACACGAGGTAGATGACGTCGACACTGGTGTCGAGCTTCTTGTGTACAGTCTTGCAGTTGAATTCGATGGATGTGTTGAAGTCAACGCCTTGCACTTCTGGTAAAACAAGTTCTCTGTGTCCACCGGCACTCTGTGGCCTTGTCTTGAAAGCAAGGCTCCAACTCTCGATCAGTCCAATCTGTTTGTGTGCCTTCACCTTTAAGAGCCTTTACACTGAGAGCACATTGCGCATCTGTAAAGAAATCAAGAAGAATCAAATCATGGTGTGTGCTATGATTATCATCGACTTGAGAACTGGTAAAATTTTTAGCACCCTTGACATTTTGAACAGTGAGGCTCGATTAGCAGCAACAAAAAAAATTATGGGCTACAAGTATAAAAAATATGCCCCAGATAAAACAGTAGCAGTTTTATTTCTGGAGTTGTATGACAACGCCTCGACAAGACCGTTATGCTACAAAGGTTTCATGGCTAAGAGTTTACGAAAAGAAAAACTGGAGGTTCTATGAACGTTTGTTGGATTATTGCACCAAAAGAATTCTTGCACTTCACTTGGCCTCTTGGTTTATAGAGTCCGAAAGATTGGAGCTATGAGACTTGGCACAGTGAGGGAGTCTGGAAATTTCAACTAGAATTTCAAGCCTTGGGCTCTTTAAGGTGTGACTAAATATAACAACACATGCCTTTATCACTTTTACATCTATCGAATATGCAACTAAAGTAAGAGAGAAACTGCATCTTATTAATCAGCAGCTGACCACTATGACCACTGTACCCCCGCCGTGGTCAATTCGCTTGCCCTATGATTACACTGAAAGCAACACATTTTGCAGTATCACCATAAACTCAAATTTATCAACTGCCTTTTGCAACATGCAAGCATGCTTTAAAGCAACACCACTGAATTCCAGGATGGCACACATATGTATTTTGTCACTGTGACAAGACTACAACAGATAAATGGGTAACTTGCTGCTTTTGGTTCCCACTGTTGCTTTTCAATGATGAAAAGGGACACAAATGTCAAAGAATGAATTAGTTTGGATTAATAAATTGTACTCTAAGAACTCCAGCATTAACAATTTCAACATTACAAGTTCATTAATAAAGGACAAAATCCAGTTAAAATTTCATTTTTAAGTTTCATACTGAAATCTCCATGCGTGACATCACAGAATCTATTTATCGTATTCTGGTGCCATCGTCTCACCAAAACTTTCTAAAACATGCTGTGTTCAGTCGATGGCCCCCTCAGAGAACCATGTATTTTATTTTCAACCAGTTAGGGACTAGGCAGGACCTATAGCGTGCTGTCAAAGTGTGTGACCTCATGGTGAATGGTGCAGAAACCTCAAGGTGGTGCTGCCACAAACATTTTCTTTTTGCACGTTTTCTTGCTTACTAAGTGTCTTTTCGCGGCAAGTGTGGCATTATAGATATCGAGAAAAAGTAATTAACCAACACGAGAAAAATAATTTCGCTCTTTAGAGTCCCTTTAAATGACATGAGCAAGTAACTATTTGCTCACACCTGGATCATCACTCAACTGTTGAAAACTTATGCTGAATGCCAACCCATCTGACAAGCTCTCAAAACAATTTTGACATTCCATGAAGAAAAATGAGAACTGTTACCCCCCTAGCATTATTCAGGCATGTGAAGGTCCAATGAATGCCCACGCTGTCATCATATAGACAGGGTCGGGACAAGTTTCAAAGGAGAAAATTTAAGAATATACAAGAAGTTTCAATGGCCTGCCAAAAATTTTTCATGGACTAAGAAACAACATTAGATTAGGCCCTTTTCTTTTCGCTTTAATGTTTCAAATTCAGGCTAGACTAATCACAACTATACAGTTGAAATTTAATTGAATGAACTCATTGCCACAATAACATTGCTTCAATAAATTGAGAGGTCTGTAAAATCAAGAAAGTAGTTTTCCATGAAAATTCCTCTGAAACCTAAATTTTAAACATGATGGAATATTTCAGCACTACAAATGTTGCACCGAATATTAAGGTATTTGAATTAACTTTGACGTGAACTTCAATTATCGAAATTTTTTAAGTATTCAACATGAACAAATACGCATAGCAGAAAATATGTACACTTCACCGCCCCCCTCCTTTAGTAAGGGTGGTTTCACTGCACCGTGGGAACACATTGCTGTGAAAACACATATCCAGAAAAAAAAAAAGCCAGTGACTATGGTAACGGGGCTTGCCAGCGCAGTACTGTCGTTAGAGTGAAGGGCCCGTCATGCTAGTGATGCAGCTATATCGACAAGCTCCATGATTGAAGTGTAATGGCAAAAATTAGGTGGGCTATTGCTGTAAATTAGTATTCGTTTTAGACATCTCTGCCAAGCTGTTTTGGTGGCGTAATGGTTTGACACGCAGTTGGGTATGCAGTAGTGCTTAGGTCCTTAGTTCGATTCCCGCTGTGTTATTTTTTAATGTTTTAGTAATGCTTCAATATTGAGATTACTGCTTTGAAAGAATTGTAATTTTACTTTTTTGCAAAAGAATCATGTCACTGTTTGTGCCAGCTGTTAGCCCTACCGCGTTGATTTTTCAGGGTGCAGTCGGTACGTTGATGTGCAAGAAGATGAGTTATTGGTGCGCGACTTTAGTTCGAGTTGTGCTGACCAACTGAACTATTTCTTCTTTTCTGCTTTCAATTTGTTTCAAATAATGTTGCCTATTTTAAAGGCAGCATGCATGCTACAGTGAAGCAATGGGAGGAGCGGCTGGCCAGAGAGAACCTAGACGATCAGCTGAGTCAAGGTTCTCACTGGTGCACCTGGCTCGCTGAGTGGCAGCTACTTCTGAGCCCTGGTCTGAGCTTCCCCCACCACGCAATCCACTGCAGTATCGCAAGTATAGCGAGTTTTCACTGCCACCAATGAAAGTGCATGCACAGACATTATTGCATCGAGACAATCACTACAGCGCCGTAACTATGTAATTATGAGGTGGCCCATTTTAACAACGCAGCCTGTAGTGATAGGCCTCGACATAGTGCTGCTGTTTGTGCTGTTATTGAAGTGATTGAAGTTTTTTTTTTTTCTTTACTCCTGCGCTAGGTGAATGCATTCAAGCTGCCTACGGGTATACCTTCCCTCATCGTAGGATACATCGACGCTGCCAGATGCACGCTCATTCTTGCGTACTCGTTTCATTGACTTGGTCACACCTTGTGGTTTACCCAAGCACGCAGCCAGCACCAGCCAGCACTTGCAAATTAAAGCACCTTGCAAACTAAAGCGCGCCGAAGTCGTGGTCATGCCCACGACTTCGGCGTGCTGGCATTTTAATCGCCGAGAACGATACGGAAGATATTTCGCTTCCACAGGACAAGCGTCGTTTCAGGATTGGAAGACAGCCACAGAGAGCACACGACTGCGCGAGTATCTACCGCACCGTAGAGAGCTAGGATGTCTATCTACGTTTGCATAGCAGTAGCACTCATTCATTGAACAAAAGAGATGTGCATATTGTGTAACAAATTATTAGTTGGAGCTACGGTAACACTGCAAAAGAATGGAAACCCTGCCGAAAGTGGTTGTTCAATGAGATAATAAAGCTAATTCGCACGCATACTCCAAAATCTGCTCGCCTAGCGCAGTATTAATCGAAAATCACTGGGAATCGTCTTCATTCCACGATGGACGTAAAAGAAAGTTGATAGTTATATCCACGATGAATGAACACGAGTATCATCTAAGAACAAGTAATACTTGAAACAACATACTGAGAGAAGAAAGTAAAAAAGAGCACTATTCACATCGCAGCCGGACACAGACAAAATTCTGCCACGAAGTCCACATGGTAGGGCTGTCTAACAGACGCCCCAGATAGCGACATGAACTTATTGCAGCATTACCTTGAAAAAAAAAAGGGTGGGAGTAAAATATTTAACTTGAACGCTTCCTTAACTGTGCGTCAAGCCACTACGCCACCAAAACAACTATATGATGGCATCTAAAACAGCTACAAATTTACGGCAATGGGCCCCCTTATTTTTACCATTAAACTACAGTGACGGGCCCCCTCACCGTAGTCATTGCTTTACGATAACAAGTCGTTGCTATAGCTGCATCGCTATTATGACTGTATTACAGTTTTTTTACTATGATGAGCAATCATAGCATCTGTACAGAGTGCCCACCTACTATGGTCTCAGCAGAGACTGGCAGTATTGCAAATAAATAAATAAATAAATGATGGGCCCCATCCCCGTTACCATGTCACTACAGTGACGAGCCCGCTTACTTTAACGATAGTACTGCGCTGACGGACCCCGTCACTCTAACTATATTACTGCATTGACGACACCCGTCACCATAGTTGGTGCAAAAAAAAAAAAAATGGCACAACCGCAAAGCCTCACTTCGAGGTTAAATCACTTTAAGGTTAAATAAAGATGCTGTGCTTCTATCAATTATTCATGGTTTAGTTTAAAAGCTCCTTTTATGGCTTATATGGTCCAAACATAGCAATTTTAAAATGCAGCATATTTTATTGGTTATTACTTGCATTCTAATGAAACTCAAATTTTGCTACAATTCGTAGTTTGTTCCACTTAACTTCATACCAAAAGAGAAATGGAATTCCTACATAGTTTGTTTGAATTAAACAAAATATTGTGCATGTTGGTTGTGTAAAAACAAACATGCTCAGGTTCCTTGAACCTTTAATGCCTGAAGTATGAAACTGCCAAGCAAAATAAAAATTATTTTCATTTTCCAGCTTTAATTAGCAACGTTCAAATCATTGCACAGTTAAATTATCCAAAATGTAACTCTAATGTGTACTATTGTGTATATCGTGAATGTGACTTGTCACAGAAGCGCCACAGAACTATGCCACAGAATCAAAAACCTTGCAACAATAAACGTACTCCATAACTACGTAACATGTTGTGTATCACCCATTGAGTGCATAGACATCAAATTTCAACCATATTATTAAAGACAGAACTTGCGTCTCCAAGGCGATAAAAAACGAGGTGAGAGCTGTCCCATGCGCTTTGCACTCTCCACCATCAGCACCAATACAATTGGCCATAAAATTCCACGCAAGTGGCCCCTTTTCCTTTTTGGGACTAACAAAACATGCACCAATGACAAAACAAACTTTCTTCCACCCCCCGTCCCCCAGATAGTTTTTATAGCCTCTTTTTTGGTACGCAATACTGCAGCAGTGGTCTGTAGGAACCCAAGTTCTGACT